CTGTCGCCATATTTCACTATGCCAGCGATCTCTAGACAGATTTGCCTTACAGTATTTTGCTTACATACATATGATACAAATTATACTAGGCATAGCGTTGCAATGTACTAGGACATATCGAGATCAATCGACAGATAGCCACGCCCCTTAAGCTCGTCATGCATGCGATATGCATGCATATCTAGCCATCAGCAGACCCTTCAATAGCTATAGATCTAAGTTTAGCTGGAACCTCTTGTAACTATAGCCAAATTCATTATTGAAATGGCCACAGAAACAGGAAAAAACCTTAAGTGCCCCGACAAGGACAGCTGGCCATTACTAGCGAGGAGGGAAAGAAAAAAAGATATGAATTGTCAGCCCAGACGTATTCCCGAGAGTGATTCTTTGGAAATAAAAGCAAACCATCCAACTAATGTCGCTGCAATTGATTTCGGGACAACACATTGCTCTCTCGCTTACAGTACAGCAGCATCAGCCGACGAGACCAGCTCTTTAAAATTGGGCGACTACCACGCTCGCGTCCCTACTGCAATTTTATTGAAAAGAGGAAAGGAAAGATTAAATTCTGATGGCGTTGTCGTTGGAATAGAATGCAGCGTAGATTCATTTGGATACGTAGCACAGAATAAGTATCAAAGGCTAAAACGAGCTGATAATGGAAAATTTCTTTATTTTGAGAGGATGAAAATGAGACTTCAACACGAGAAGGTATGTATGCATCTTTATAAACCATCACGATTAATAATATTTTTAATAATTCATAGAATGTTGAAAGGAGTATGAAAATTAATTCAATTAATATAAACAATGATTGCAGTGAAGTCAATGAGTGGTATTTAATTGAAGTAATTGCCTATATTCTCTGTTACTTAAAAGATGAGTTTATAAAATGTATCTCAATGGCTGGTGCTACTTTGACCGCTCAAGACTTTGACTGGGTTATCACTGTGCCAGCAATCTGGCAAAACAAGGGAAAACAGATGATGAGAGAAGCTGGATATCTAGTAAGTATACTTAAGATAATTTATTCATAATGCATTCTGTTCATTATAATGTTATTCACTTTATATAGGCTGGTTTATGTGGTTCGGGGCAAATATTTTACTTATCTTGTGCAGATAAAGCACCAGTTCAATCATCTCCATGTGAGATTAATTTGTCAAAGCTGTCATTAGTCCCGGAACCTGAAGCTGCTGCACTCTACTGTCAAGCAATGAATTCATCTCACGTGGCCAAATATTGTGACAAACCTTCTGATGGGTTTCATGCTCCTGAGCAATATATTGTTCTGGACATAGGAGGTGGTACTGTTGATATCACAGCACAGGAACGAAATAAAGAGACAGGCAAAATTGATGTCATATTGGCACCACAAGGCAATGACTGTGGTGGAATGGTTGTTAACAAGGAGTTTGGACGAATTTTGCAGAAAATTTTGGGTGAAAATGAAACAAAGGAGTTTTTTGACTTGGAAACATCATTTCAGCGATTACTGTATTCTGATGATGGCACTTTGAAAGCGCTTATTAATTTTGGCCTTTTTAATGACTTCGAAGTGCAAAAAGAAATATTTGGCCGCTCAAGTGACAATGACACAGACTTGGTAGTAAAAATTCCACATAAAATCACCCAAAAATATGGCATGGAAAATATCAAGAAAAATTTGAAGAAGCTAAATGATTCAGCAATTGAGATAGAAGAAGATTCCATTTACATTAAGTATTCTAGAGTGCACGACTTCTTTGCACCAGCAGTAGAAGGTATTCTTGATGCCACTCGTAAGGCACTCTTGGAGCTGTCAAAAAAAGAAGAATCGTCTCAATTTAAGACTATTTATTTAGTTGGTGGATTTGGAGGGTGCAAGTACATCTATGACAAAGTTAAAAGCTTTATCATTAAGGAGTTTCCTAGCATGAATTATATATTAATAGTTCCAGATAGTCACAGGCTTGCTGTTGCTCATGGAGCGGTTCTTTACAAAAAAGCTCCGAAAATTAATTCTCGTTGCCTTAATCGTACATATGGGTTAGCAGTCTCTGTTAAATATAATCCAAAGGCACACAGTAAAGAGCACTTTAGGTATAATGAAGATGGTATCCCAACATGTGAAGATGCCTTTCTTACTTTTCTACAAAAAGGCACGCCTGTATCCTCAAACGAAGTTGCTGTAGATGAAGTATTACCAGATATTGATATTGATAGAGTTATTAGCATTCCATTCTATGCAAGTGAAGAGCCCTCACTAGAATATTTGACAGATCGTCCTTCACCAGGTGTAATTATGCCAATGGCTGAAAAGGTAGGTGAGCTACAGTTTGAACTTCCAAAAGGAGATATACTGCACAAAGATCAGCGGCAATTTCAAGTTATCTTAGATTTTAGTTCTGTGGAAATTGATGCAACTGTACGCTATCTTAACACAAACACTGATATAAAGACAACTTTAAATTTTTTAATATAAAATTAATGATTGTTTTACAAGTAACGTAGTGTTGTGTGATGTACTTTCACTAAATTAATTAGATTTATTACTGTTACAACAAAATAATTTCACTATAAATACAAGCTCAAAAAATTCTAATTAACCACACTATGACTATTATCTAAATAATTGTAGCAAAAGTAATAGCTTTATCTACTGTGTAGCATTATCAGTCAAAAAATCTAGTGTTGTTTTGACTTGCATACCAGTTACTGTGTAGTGAGCCCTGACTTGTATCTCAGTGTGACTGAAGTCCATCGTCATTTCTACAAGACGTTTTTCTCGAGGTAGAGATTCTTGATTGGGCATGTCTACTTCTATTTGACCTATTTTACGCACGGAGGGAATTGGCTTCTCTTCTTCATCTTTTATGTACTCAAGATCTTTATCTAATGTGCTATACAGATCAATTTTCATTGATTTGGCAGCATCACTTAATGGACAGAGTTCTGCTGTTACAACCTCGTCACTTTTAATGACTTCACCTCTGTCAACATAATGAAGCAAAACATCACGTCGTCTTGGTATGCCACGAGAATCAATGCCAACGAAATACTTCCTATCATGTCGTCCAGGTAAATATGGAGGGCATATGTCAGTGCCATACGTAGCATCCATAATTCGAGAGCAAATGATGTCTGGCTCCAGCCGGTACTTCACTGCACCTTGGGCTACTGCTAACGAATGATCTTTAGGAACAATGATTCGAATGTTATGCTCTTTATACTTTGCCTGATTAAGTGTTGATATTTTCTCATAAACATACTTGCATCCTCCAAACCCTCCAACAAGATAAATTGTGTCAATATCACCTTTCAGGCGCTCAAGAACAGAGGCAGTGCAACTAAGTATTCCATCAATGGCTGGTTGAAATAATTCTGCAACAAGCGAAAACTTCATGTACAAAGTTGTATCATCAAGCTCAATGCGATCATCTTGCAATGCTGCAACACCAGATTCAATTTCCTCAACACCATAGAATTCAACAAATTGATAAGGTAATTCAATAGCAATGTCATCATCATCTTGTCCAACTGGAAGAGAATCTTTTCCACATGCTGTATTTCCAAAAGTGACTTTTGCTGTTTCGAATAAATTTAACAATTTATTAATAATTGCTTTCCTTGTAGCAAGTACCCCACTTTCCTTTGTATCTAGGAATCGAGAAAAAGCACAGCACCCTTCATCCTTTACAATTTTTTGCAACAGTTTGGAAAATTCCTGGTTAACCTTCATGCCACCGCAATCATTACCAATTGGCTCGGTAATGACTTCAATTCCTTGCTCTTCATTGTGTCGATGAGCGGTAATATCAACAGTTCCACCTCCTATGTCTATAACAAGGTATCGATCAGATTTAATCGAGCCATCAATCTTGCAGTGGTCAGGCATGGCTTTACTGCTCATTGTTTGGCAGTAGATTGCAGCAGCTTCAGGCTCAAGAGCTAACGACAGCTTGTCAGGATTATCTTCATCTTGCTTTGGCATGCCATAACCAACTTGAATGAAACGATCAATGGTCTTATAAGTTGTGCATAAACCAGCCTAAATTAAAAATAAAATATAAAATTGTAAATTTAATTCCTCACTTGGTATGCTGCTTCTCTCATCATCCTTTTTCCTCTTGATTGCCAAATAGCAGGAACAGTTATCACCCAGTCGAAGTCAGAAATTTGTACGCCAGAACCACTTTGAACTAGGTGGTTACTTAACTCTTTTTTTAGATATTGTAAGATGAAAGCAATAACTTCAACTAAGTAACACTTGGTGTCATTTGATGACACAATGAACATATTTCTGTTTACACCCTATGTTGTGGATTAATTTTGAAATCATAAAAATGAATAATATTAACATACTTCATCTTGTTGAAGAGACATTTTAAAGCGTTCAAAATACAGGTATTTGGATCTTTCACTGGCTCTAAGTTTAGTATGTTGTTCCAGTGCTTCATACCCAAAAGAATCCACTTCATAGACAGGTGATCGTATAACAGGATCATCGGCATTGAAATTTTGGATACTGTTAGTACCATTCTGCTTTAGAAGAATGGCTGTTGGAACACGTGAATGATATTGATTGAGCTTGAGAGTAGCGATTTCATCTTTAGCAATATTTGTTGTATATGCAAGAGAGCAAAACGTTGTTCCGAAATCTATCGCTGCTACATTTCCTGTTGTTTGCCTAAACCGACCAGCCTGTTGCCCATATTTTTGCGCTAGGGAATCTTTCTTTATCCTATCAGCTTTTTGTATTCCTGATGGTGCACCACTTGCAGCTAGCAGAGGTAAAAGACCAAGGCCACCAGGGGAACCACTTAAAGCAAGTAGTAGCGGAAGAGATAACGGTAGGGGCAATGGCAAAGAATCGTCATCATTCTCGGCTCCAGGTTGTGTGCTAGAAAGAGCTCCATCTTCGCCACTCATTGAGTCACTCATATTTTTGTTTCTATGATAGTCTAACTCGACTACCTAAATTACGAACTGAAACGGCTAACGATAAAAACAAAATCAATAGCTAGCCTAGACACTACGAATTCACGTGAGCTACGGGCCCCACGCACTGAGCTCAGCAACTTTTGTTTTCATCTCTGGTTCAGTCAACACTCCTGACTAGGCTATAGATGGGCAATAATTTATTTGGAGCTGCTGTTCCTGGAAGATATGGCGATGAACAAGAGTCCGCTGGGTTAGTACTAATACCAGTATCATGGCAGGCATTTTGATTTCGTCTTAGAATCCGAGGAGGCCCCAGTGAAGCTGCAGTGGCTACATCCGTCAGCCATAAGTCAACTTATGAGTTTAAACAATTTGTTGTAAATGAATTCTTCAAATCCAGCAATGCAATTGGAGATAAGTTCACTGAATTCATGAATTTGAGGTACATCATAAACATGCAATAAGACTTCAATAGTTCAATAGGGACATTGAATTCGCTAAACTAGAAGAGGAAGTAAAGTAAGCTTTAAAAATTTTTATGCCAGCGGAATTTTGAAATTATTCTACATAAATTATTTTGTACTATGATACTCTTGTGGGCTAACAGGAAGTTAAGACACCTCGAGGAAGAAAATAAGCAAGCGTAAAGAATACCTTATTGCTGCTAAAATTGCTATTAAATTTATTAAAATTAATAGAAAAGACAATAGCGAGGATGTTATAGTGAGATTAAGTTGTGAGCTTCAGTCAAGAAAACAACTTATTGAGGAACAGGCAAAGAAGTATGAATAGTAACAATTTAAAACCATAGTTTAATATTTTTGCAGGTTAGAATCCTATGAAAAAAATGAGATTGCATTAAAAAAGTACTTTTATTATTTTATTTTTTGTAATGATGCAAACTAAATCAGAGAATTAGAAGCTAAAAATGAAGAAATTTTGAAGCTAAATAAGTATGATACCAATAGAAAGTTCACACTCACTATACATTTTTATATTAGGTTGATAGATCCAATGAGACAATTAAGGAGAAGAGGTCACTGCATTCAGTCTGGAGATACTACACATGAAGATGTTGCAAGAGATTATATGCAGCTTTTTGTTCAAAGAAATTCATTAGAATCAATAAGAAAGAAGGAAGCTGGACAAAGAGCCTCTGAATTAAAAAAAATACTTGAGGTATGCATATATTAATCAATAGCACTGAGCTTAAGCTGTACTCTACAGATTGCATATAGTGCTTGTAAAAATCATGTCATAGAAATAGCTAAAAATGAGCTTGCAATGCTTTTCAAACCTCCTGTGCGTGTGTTGACTGAACTGGAAAGAAAAAATGAAGATATTTACCTCCCATGGCAGTCTCGCCAAGAGGCACTGTCGCTTCTTCTGTCAAATTCAAAAATTCGGAACCAGTGTGTACCAGATGACTTGACTGATGAGGTGTGCTATTAGCTAATTTTATTTACTGTATACATTTAATTTGACACCAATAATAATAGGTTATTAAAGAACTTTCAAAACAGTGTGAGTACCATAGTGCTGGTATGCACACTGTTCTGAAACAGGTGGCTGAACTGACTTGGAAAATGGTGAACCTTTCTCCTCCAGTTTCTCTTGGCTATTTGCCTTTTTCTGAGGATTTAGATCTATATGATGTTACTGATGTAAAAGATTTGTTAGGTGCTGAAGAAAAGTACAAAGTTGAATACAGACGACCAATATTATTTTTTGGTTCAAGTGGCATTGTTGGATCTAAAGGAAGCATTGCAATATATCCATTTGTAAGCAAAATATACTCTGACTTGCATGCATGGTTTGTAATATTTGATTAAAGCAGGCAGAGCATTCTAAGCTGGATGGAGCAGGCATGCTTCCTGATGATAAAATTACTTCAGATAATACTCCTACATTTGATCTCAGTGAAAATAAAGAGAAAAATGAAAGTAACATTGGAAAATCAATGATGCATAATGTTAATAAAAATAGGTGAAGTGAAAAATGAGGAAAGAACACATTTATGTGGCTCTAGCAAGGTATAATGATTTAAAATGTTTCAATTATGACATTCAGCATTTACAAAGGTATTACAAGAAAGTGTTCAATTTCAAAGTGGAGCGAACCAGATGGATACTGGTTCAAAGCCAAAAAAGAGAAAAAAGAAGAAAAAAAAATCAAGAGAGAAACCGGAAAGTCATACTGAGCGAGATGGCCTGAAATCAGACTGTGAAAGCAACAATAGTGATAATGAATTAGATCAAGTAGATTGAATGATTGATAGCTACATTATAGAATAGCTAATATCATAGATAGTCGCTAGTCGCTAATATTTTGAAACTTAACCTACTGTTTTTTTTTCATGGACATAATTTTTTTTTAAATTTTGGTGGCATTGATGCGCATATAACGTTAAATGGGTGGAACTAGTATGGGTGGAGTTTGGTGCCGCGGAACTGAACCTGGGAGCTGTCACATCTCTGCTGTCATAAATTTCAAGCCTTGCATTCTTTTTCTGTTTGAACTGATGGCAAAGAATTTAGTAAAAGATGTTGCCGAAGAGAATAAGTAAGCATTTTAGTAATGATTGGTTTCTATTTTACATCGTTTTAATATTTATGTGCAGATTGATTGTTGTAAACTTATACAATAATATCAAAC